GTAGGTCGGTAGGTCGGTAGGTAGGTAGGTCGGTAGGTCGGTAGGTCGGTCGGTCGGTCGGTCGGTCGGTAGGTAGGTAGGTAGGTAGGTAGGTGTGCTAATTTTTTTTTTGTGTGTGTGTGTGTGATATCATAAGATAATAGTATTCTAGGGCGCGCTACCACTATGGCAGACTTGTCAAATTCTCCAGCATCCCAGGCCCTTGCCTTGGCTGTGAAGCTGCACCTTCAGGGCATCCGAGCATCGCGGCTGTGTCCCGGCGGCGTTTGTTTCTGGGGCATTCTTGAAATCGACAGACTCAGCAGACCCGTGCTGAGAGGATGTAGCCGCTAGCATAGGAATCCCGATCTATGAAGAGATCTGTGAAAGTTATTGCTGTGAATGTTGGGGTTGTCAGCATCAAGCAGTCAGCTGTTTGTACACTGAGTGCTGGCCGGAAACTCGCCTCGCCGTGCCGCTAAGCATCCCCTGCTCAGGACCTACTTGGCAGCGATGGAGTCTTTTGGCTTTGGCCTCAGGTGCGAAGTTCATGTACTGAGGGGGTTCAGTGATGCATTGGAGTTTCGACCGATTCTTGGGGCATTGAAGCGACAGAGCATTTGGAGGAAAGGTCCGTGAAACTAAAACCGAAGCTGCACAAGCCATCACGCCTGGGGGGAAGCAACACGGCACCCAGGCCCTGTCAACACGTGGTCCGACGAGTGCAAAGATCGCTCCAGGACCATGGGTGGAAAAGTGCAGGTGTCGTCCCATCAACCTTGCATCCGTAGTTCGTGAGAACTTCGCCATGCTCCCTCAGAGTGGATTCCGGAGAGCAGCTCCGAGGGCGGGTAGGCAAACTGGGGTTCGATGGCTGCAGGAAGAGGAGGTTAAGCTGGATGCTTGCGTAAGCACTCCCGTCGAATGACGTACGCGTATAGAAGCGCGCACATGTACTTTATGTGGACATACTATGTGGACATACAGCACTAGTTACTAGTTGCGTGCTCTGGATCCGTCCCGGCATAACAAGCGGGGGCGGATGGGAGCCTGGGTCAGTACGATGCAGACACCAGGCTCCAACGCCAGACCCGGAGAGAAGCCCCGAGAAGTGCTAATATGATTGTATGCAAGCGTTCGAAAAGGGCACAATCCGGATCAGGCCTACACTGACTCTGCCTACATCCTGATGCCTCCACAGACATCGCGGCACGGCAGGACATGGACATATACCTGGCCATGGGCTTTGTGCTTGGCTCAACGGGTGTGCTGCTCTCAGCTCTCAGCTTGGGCTCCTAACTTAAGAAATCATGTTGCGCCAGTACCTACAATGCGGACAGCCTAGAAATAGTTTGGGGCATGCGGACAGCCTAGAAATAGTTTGGGGCAGTGGACAGCATTAAGGTGGCTCTCGGTATTGAAGCCCTTATATCATGATGATCGCCGTTCCCATCGTTTTTATGTAGCACCTCTTCATTTATAGGAAAACATATTTGTGTATATATGTATATGCAGCTTATGCTACCCTGTCCTACATTGAAGACCTTCTCGACGAATTTTTGGGGGCCCTACCAAAAAGCTAGGTTTTGGTATCTTCAGGTGTATGTGAAAACGATGTGACATCTTCTTTCTTGGAAGCCACACCTCAGAAGCGCCCTGGAGCCGTGCCCCGGTGGTGGGGAAGCCGCGGCACCTTGCACAGCCGGGAATCCCGGCTTTTAGTGATGCGTCGTTCATCGTGGGAGGCCGGCATAGTCTTAGGCACACTTCCTGGGGCGTCTTGGGCTTTGCTGGAGTTATGGGTGTTGAGATTTCTTTCTCTGTGCTTCATGGCAAAAGCCTTCAACCTTGGCTGGGAGCCTGCCAGGCTTTCGGAGCCTGTCCATCGACGGTGGTCCGAGCGCCTGTGGGGCGCAGACTACTGGAGGACTGAGATTCATACGGTAGAACTCCGCTGCAGAGGGAGTCCAAGGCTTAGCCCCGGAAGATGCAGAAGCATTGCCTGTATGAATGTAACTTTATGTAACTATACATGTGTGTATACTATGTTGTATATATATATATATATGAACTCATGAACTTATTCATCTAGAAGCATGCAGTTACAGACGCCGTCATTGTTGTTGCGCCACATTGCGAACATCGCAGTCTCTGCTAGGTATTGTACGGGTCAATCGTGGCCTCACTGTGGATCGCTCTCAAGTTGACGACAAGGCTTTTGGGAGGTCCACGGGTGATAGTCGTGTAACACGGCTGAGCACCTCGAAAGCTTTCGACGTTACCAAAACCCCAATTTGTGTGACATCGCATGTATGTAGGTCTATGCATCTGCGTGATCCTCAAACGCAAGTGCATGTGTACATATTTGTACATGATGTGTGTTACCTACACACACACACATATATATATATATATATTTATATTTATGTACACACACACATACACACACACATACATACATACATACATACATACATACATACATACATACATACACACACATACATACATACATACATACATGCATACATACATACATACATATTATATAAACAGATGTTTACACACGTATGTTTGTATCCGTACGCTCGTGTGTCTTTAAGATGCTTGTAAGGTACAGGCATGCACTGATATTTCGATAGGTAGATGTAGAGAACTTAAAGCAAGTTTTTCCAGGATGTCGACTTGGCATGCCGACGCGAGCTACGGCATTGTTTCGATTTGGAAAGAAGCGGATCAACAGATCTCCAGTGGCGTGGGGGTTGAATCTGCTGAATTTCAGCTTGGCCGTACCACCTTTTGATGCCGAGCATTGTAAGATCAGTTGCGCTGTACATACTGTGAGCCTGTGCCGACCCCACTGCCGTAACTAAAGGACGTTGGGCATGCAAGCCCTGGATGGTTAATCGTGGTTAATCTCCCCAAACACTCCATAGCAGAGTGCTATCCGAGGTCTTTGGCTCAGGGCTTAGGCACGCAGATGTCTAAAGAGAAGCTGAACAGAAGTCGCGACTGCGTGCAGGCATGCCGTGGCCCATTTGGATTCGGTTTCGTTTGTTCAACGTGTCTAGGCGCTTACAGACTTACAGCTTGAAGGCACGAGGGGTGGCCGTCTGAATTCGGAAGTCAAGCTATGGCCCGACCACGGCAAGAACGAGTTTGGAGAGGTTCTTGGCTGCTGGCAGCCTGGGGCTCGCAAATGGAAGATTGGCGTGTAGCCATCCAAGATAAATTCGTGGCGGTCTTCCGTGTCCGTGTTGGCTTGCTGCAAAAAAAACTGAAGTTAGTCAGAGCAGTCGCTACTGTCAGAGCGTGAGGAGGACAAGGGCAGTCGACCGATAATGCTGCTCGCAGATGGTTGGCACCGCATCGGCATCTTCAAAGACCGGGATGGATGGCTTTGCTGCACCTCAGACACAGCAATGTGCAACAGCAGCCTGCGCAGCCAGCTCATGCAAGTGCAAAGAGGCTTTCCGGCTCAGCAACGTCAGGTGAAGCCCATGCACATTTGTGAAGCCAAAAGAATGGACCGGCCTGCAATGATGAAAGAGAGAGACTGCCTGAAGCAGCTTTAGAACAGGTGCGTATTTGTGGATTATTGTTGGGAAGGTTCGGGACGGCGGAGTATGACACAGGCAGCTTGCTGGCCTCAGAATGCTTCGAAGCGGGCTTCAGGTTGACTTGTGGCTCCTGGCAGAATGGAGTTGCCATCATGAGCACCCGCCTCAAAGACAAGCTCTGCAATCCAACTGTCGGCCAGAAGGGATCACAGCCCCCACACCCCTGTGGTAAGGTAATGCCACGGAACACCAAGACCACAACCTGTGCAAGGCAACGGCAGCCTCATATCATCAACAACCACGCAAATGTTGCCATGCCCCCCGCGGCATGTCCGACACGCGGTCGTCGTCGCCATAACAACTGTAATTGTCACCATCAACGCTATCGTCGTTACCACCATCAAAGCAAAAGATATGTTGGGGAGATGCATTGGTTTGTTGAACGACTTGATGTGTTCGAGCAGGCTGCGCGTGAACGAGTCTGTTTGTGAGTTTTGAATACCACCAGGTTTGATTTTGCTCCTTGAGCTTCCTGTCTTTGGCAAGGTCTGGCTCACGATGGAGTTGAGATGCAGGAGATTGTAAGGGAGAGGTGCTTCTGTGCCGGAACCGACGCAGCATGCAACAATCGATCACAGAATGTTACAATCTAGTCGCCCTTGCCTGTCAGCTTTCTCGGTGATTTGACCAGCTAGGCCATAACATGCAACAGCGTCTGCACTGATTCATCAGCCATGGAATCCGATGGCGAATCAGTCGATGGCAGCGGCAGCGAGGCTGACTCTGCAGAGTCAACACGACTTGCCGCGGAAGCCTCGGCAGACGAGCTGCCGGAGGAGAAATCCGACGATCAGACGTTCCTTGACTTAGACTTAGACACTCCTACCGGTGGGATTATTTTGGGTTGCGGCCCCCGGCAACAGAAAACACGGCCCCCGGCAACAGCGACAAAACCAACACCC